AAATAAATAAATAAAATCTTTAAAAAAATAAATAAAGTGCATATAAAAAACAAACCTATCTTTGAAATGTAAATTTCTATTTTTTATGCCAGTTTCTTTTTTTTTTGCCAGACACAAGGTACATCCTCATAAGAAATGTCCTGTTTATGAATCTTATGCCAAGTAATGGCAAACCTTATAAAGAATATCATCCTATGAGAATTTAATGAAACAATATAATAACAGTATTATTGTTATTATTAAAGCAAAATGAATGCTATAGATTATAGGTAGTATAAAAATTCAAATTAAGAAGCTAGTGTGGGCTAAATTAAAGGAAAAGTTCAGTATTACAACTCTCTACCAAAAATACTAACTTTCAATAATAAGCATATTTAGCTGGTAAATAGATATTTAAATGTGAGTAAAACTGTATAAGGTTTAAGTGAACTAGAGGATTCCAATTCTCTCCATGCAATTTAATTTTTGCCATACCACCACCACAAAAATCCTAGAGAACAAAGCATTAATCGCATTTTGTATAATAATGTTCTCTCAAGATCTGCTAAGGGGAATTATCAAGAAATAAAAACCTAAAATAGCACAGGAGTAAATCATTCAATAACTTATAAAACTAAATTATAATATTTAATTCCTTTTAATAAGTATCACAAGAATGGTATTTATTAAAATTCCTTGAAGACCTCCGAAAAAAATATATTTTTTCAAATTATTTGTCTGAAACACCCTTGAAAAAAGTAGCTAAAATGATAAGCTTTCACAGACATTATCATAATAACGTAAGTTACCAATACTGAATACTTGTTTGCTAAGCATTTTACATATATTATCTTATTACATATTATAAAATAGACATCATCATCCCCATCTTATATATGTGAAAAATAAGATTCATTGGCTACGTTATATGCTCTGGGTCTCACAGCTAGTAAATGAAGGTGGGAACTGAATTCATTTCTATGTCACTCTGAAAGTAGTACTCTTATCCATTCATTATACCAGTGCTTCCCAACTTTTGTCACATGACAGCACACACTGATGATAGTATTTGTGAGCCTATTAAAGTAAAAATAACGTATATTTTCTTTATATCATAAAATTATGACATGAAAAATAAAATACAAAGTACTACAGATATTAAATACAAATTGGCATAAACCTTCCTAGTAAAATATTTGCAACTGCCATGTTCCCAAAGTTTAAAGAAGAAATCATACTAAAAATGTTCAAATATCATTTCAACCGTTGCAAAATTTCAAAAAGTTATGAAATGATTTAAAATTTTAAAACTATAAGGGCGCTTGGGTGCCTCAGTAAGTTAAGTGTTTGCCTTCAGCTCAGGTCATGATCCCAGGATCCTGGGATTGAGGGCCCCAAACGGACTCCTTGCTCAGCAGGAAGCCTGCTTCTCCCTCTCCCTCTGCAGCTCCCCCTCTAAAAAAAAAATTAAAATAAAAAAATGAAATTTCAAAACTATAGAAAAATTTACAAACAGCAACTTGTATGCCATCCTATGCACTGCACTCCGGTTGGGAAGCTCTGCATAATATAATTTTGTCTTTCTACATAATATTGTGATTAAACATTAACGTGACATTATCAAGATCTTCCCAGTAACACACCGAAAGGAAATTCAAATCAAAGGTCATTAAAAAAAATTCTAACACTTAAGTATTCCTTAACTAATTCTGCCCACCCTGGCTGCTGCTTCTTTTTTCTTAAGATTTTTATTTATTTATTTGACAGAGAGAGACACAGCAAGAGAGGGAACACAAGCAGGGGGAATGGGAGAGGGAGAAGCAGGCTTCCCGATGAGCAAGGAGCCTGATGCGGGGCTCGATCCCAGGACCCTGGGATCATGACCTGAGCCGAAGGCAGGTGCTTAATGACTGAGCCACCCAGACGCCCCTGTCCACCCTGGCTTCGTAATTTTAATTTCTATAGTACCTATAATCTGTAACATTCTTTTTGATTTAATAATAACAATAACAGTTAATATTCACTGAGCTAATCCTATGTGCCAGGCTGTATTCCACTTTACATTATTATCATTAATGCTCATAGCACTCCTATAGTGCCTCTATTTTCTCCATTTTAAAGATGAGGAAACGGACCAGAGCAAAACTGAGTAAGTAACTTTCCCAAGGTTACAGCTGGTAAATGGGAATTAGAATTTGAAATAGTCTGACTTCATAGCTCATGTTGTTACTCATTATACTAAACTACATCCCTCCAAAAAAGAAAATACAGTAATATCTACTGAACACCTATTATGTGCCAGGAGAGACACAGATAACCAAATATATCTCAACTTAGACTAAGTTTGACAGTTTCACAGTGATGAAGTAAAAATTACTTGTATGTGCATCAAAGGAGGTATTCTACAGGAAAAAAAAAGTTATCCATATACTGTGATGAGTGTGTTCTGCTTACAGAAAATACTTCAACTTCTGTGCATTATGATATGGTTCAAGCAAGAGCATCTGTGTCTGCAACTATTTATATCTGTTGACTTAACTTGCTCAAGAATATTTAAAAAATCTTACTTAAAACAATGAAATTGATAAAAATTAAAAGCACATGTTTTAGTACTTTGATTTTTACTTACTGCTTTTGAAGTTCGCTAAGTCTTCATGTGTTTAATTTTGTTTTTAATTAAATGCATTATTTATAAATCCCGAATAAAGATTTTTCCAGACATTTGCTTGCCTAAATTCTGCCTGCCAAATCCTGCCATTTGGAAGAAAGCCTCATGGTTTACAACTGTATTACAATAGGCTAATGTCCTGAGGGGATCTCTGATGGGCTAATGTTAATCAAAACATTTACAGAAGATGAAAATACACCTTTAATTTCATAACCAATCAATCAACACAGACGTTAATGCCTTGAGTATTATGGTTTAAGTTAAACATCTGAAAGAGCCCAAGGAGCAATGTCCAACATCAGGTGGTTCATGCTAGTAAATATTTAAGAAGCGTCTACTATGTGCCACAGACGATGCTCATCCACAAATGATACCTGTTAAACAGAGAGTGGCAGTCTAGAATTACAATCTGAATTCATGTGTCATGAAAGGTCAGGTATTCAAACCAAAAACTCAAGCTCCAATGCATAACTTTCCCCCTATATCCAAAGAGCTGTTCCTAGGCTTCTGCAATCTACAAACCACTAAGTATGTTAACATGAAGAGACTAGCATGGGCATCTAGCACATCCTGGAGTACAAAATAAGCCTTGGGTTATGGTGGTGCATTCTGTCCTCCAGAGCTTTACACCATGAAAACTTGACACTTCTCCTAAAGCAATTTTTCTCAACAATTAATTATTTTAAAAAGTTCTACTGAAGGCGCCTGGGTGGCTCGGGCGTTTAGCGTCTGCCTTCAGCTCAGGTCATGATCCCAGGGTCTTGAGATCGAGTCTCACATCGGGCTCCCTGCTCCGCGGGAAGCCTGCTTCTCGCTCCCCACTCCCCCTGCTTGTGTTCCCTCTCTCTCTGTTGAAAAATAAATAAAATCTTAAAAAAAAAAGTAAAAAGATCTATTGCAAAAAAAAGAGGTTCTGTTGCTTACAGAAACCATTACTCCTACTTATTCTTCTCTAACAGAACCGTAGAAAATACTAACAGTAAAAAAACTGTGACTTAACTAATTGGTAAGCTGATGCCAGGGTACTTTATATTATTTCCTGAAGCCTCTAGAAATCAGTCTCGGGATGCCTGGGTGGCTCAGTCCGCTGAGTGTCTGCCTTGGGCTTAGGTCATGATCCTGAAGTCCTGGGATGGAGACCTGGGATGAAATCCCGCATCGGGCTCCCTGCTCAGTGGGGAGTCTGCTTCTCCCTCTGCCCTTCACCCTGCTCATGCACTCTCTCACTCTTGCCCTCTCTCAAATAAATAAATCAAATCTAAAAAAAAAAAAAAAGAAACAAGTCTCAAAAATCTTTAAACTAATCATGCTGAGTAAAATGCATCTGACCATACCTAAAAGCTGCTCAAAACGAATGTCGGGTAAAATAAACAGTAACTTTCCGAAGTCAATGTTTTTAGTTTGGAGAGACAGCTCACCAGCAGTCTGTCACAGCTTTTATAGTGTATCCAATTTTATAATTTATCCTAAGGTAACTCCATTCCCACTGCACATGATCCCTAGCAACTATGCAGCAACTCCCAATATGTAATCTATTGTCCACTACACCTTTTGCCACAAACCTCAAACCAGCCAGTCCTTAAATTTCTTCAGCTCACACGACCTCCCCTTTTACAAAAACAAGGGAAGGAGTTATAAAACCTTAAGAGAGTAAAAATGATAGAAGGAGGTGGAAAAGCATAGACAGCCCCTGCACCCAAGCTCTTTTCCTTTGTATCCGAGAACTGTTGTCATTTATCTCAACCACACACCTTCACGTTCCTGGGTAATCCAGGGTTCCTCCACCTTACCGACAGTTCAAAATGCCCATTTGCTAATAAATGACAGGGTCCTTACGTGATCACTCTGTCCCAGCCCCTCTATTTATATTAATCATTCAAGCATCCCAACTTCATCCTAGTCAAAGTATCACCACGCTCCAAACTCATAAGCCATTATACAAGCCCCTCACACTCTATCCCGTCCTCTTTGGTATCAACATACTCCAACCCCTTGTAAAACCTTCCCTGATATCAGCTCTTCCTTTATGAGCTTTTCGCGTATTCCTAACACGGTCTCAATGTCCTCCTGCCCCACACTTCCAAGCTCTCTTCACTAAACGCCAATTCCAGCACGGAGTCACATCCTCCCTCCAGCCCAATTCCTACAACCCCAAACCCCACCCCCTCAGCACGCCCTCCGGGGCCTAAGCCACCAACCCAACACCCCGCCCCACGGCCGTCACGCCCTCCAGATCCCTCCAGGGTCCTTTCAGCCCGCCGGGCCAGACTCCCCCCCACCCCCCCGGGCTCCAAGTGCCTAGGCCCTCCCGTTCACCCCGCCAGTCCCGGCAGCCCCGCCCCCAGCCCCTCACCGAGTAACAGAAGCTTCACTTCTTTGGCCGCTTTCTCTCCGTCCTCCCGCAAGTTGCGGTCGATCATCTTGCTCCGCTCCACCGCCGCCTTGTCCTCGGCGCTCAACGTGCAGCCCATGGCGGCGGCGGGAGAGGGGACCGAGCCCGGGCTCACTCACACACCGCGGAGACGGCGGCTCGGCTGGCTGAGACAGCGTCTACTGCTGGGCGGCGGCCCTCTCCGTCAGCTCCTTGAGCGCCCGAAGGAACCGGATATCCGGCGTTCACGACACTTCCGGCAACGCCCCACGGCGGTTACTGCTCAAAACTCTCCAGCTGGGGTAGAGGAGGAGCAACGGAAAGCGGAAGTACGGAGAGGGGACCTGTGAGTCCGAGCGGTGGTTCCCGGAGTAGCGATGTCTTGTCGAGCACCCGGTGCGCGGCTCGACCTTAGTGCCTCTTCTTTTCGTCTGCCTTATTTGGATAAATGTAGAAAAACTAGGGACTGGCTTCCCCAGTTGGTGGCGCCCTCCTGAGGTCAAGCCGGCTTTGGATGGGGGCTGGGGGTTCCCAAATAAGAGTCCCCAGCCCGCACAGGAATTTCTGCTGGGAATTTCTCACTGGTTAGAAAGCCCCTTTGATCTCTGGCTGTGGAGACCCGAAGCCCCTTCCCAAGTGTACGACACTCTGCCGGGATTCTCTCAGCCCGATCTACGGGATGGGAACAAAGAGCAGAGCCTGGGGCCGGCAACGCTTCACATCTTGAGATCTGCAAGGCCGACCACGCCTGGCACCTTAGCATCCCCTTCTACCCTCCCCTCTGTCCCACCGCTTCCTGCTCTCAGGATGTATCCCGGTCCTTGTGCCGTAACCTACGAGTTGCCCAGCGACTATGTTGACAAAGGGCCACCTGAACTCGCCTAATAAGTCTGTTACCTAAAAGGTAAGAGTGTAGTTATCCACAAGATTTCCGTGCTACCTTTCTCCAGTATAAGCCAGTTTTAGCGCGGATAAATGATCCTGCTTTAGGGGCTTCGGACTCCTACCAAGATCAGTTAACCTCAGGCCCACACCCCAAAACAAACCAGTGCATCCTGTGAATCTCCCTACTGAAATTTCCTGTTGTACCACCCAAAAAGGGAAGTTCTAGTAGATTTGTCTCTCAGCTCTAGCATCACCTGAAAATAAACCTCTATGAAAGCCTCAGACTCCTAGCTTTTTCATTCATAATTCTGGGTACTACCCGTGAAAGTGACCCTGAATTACCTTTACTGCCAAATAGCTGCACAAATACTCTCACCATATATTCTAGAGAGGAGAACTCTTGTGGTCCCCCAAACCGTTCCCTGGGATTGAAAATTATTTCCCTAATAGAATTTAAACCTTAGCATATAAGGTCCCAACAGAAAGGTCTATATGATGATGTTTCATTGATTAGAGGGATTTCTTGAGAGCCACCTTAAACAACTTCATCCACTATAACTTAGTAATGCCAGTTCTTGAAAGTTTGAAAAGCCTCCTACTCATTCCCAAATGACTGTTAGAATAAAAAGGATGGCTTTCCCATAATCAATACTTATGGGGGGATAGGGCAAGAGGAAAGGGAAGAAAAACCAGTATTGAGTACCTATTTGCCAGGTATGGCTAGGTGCTTCCATATGGTCATCTCTTTTAATCCTCACAACAACCCTGTGAGGTAGGTAATGTTACCCCCATTCTTACAGATGAAGAAATAGGCTCAGAGAAATTAAGCATCTTTCCCAAGTTCACACAGTGAGTAAGTAGATGTCTGCCTCCAAACTCACCCCTTTTCTACCATGTCACTATAAGATGTTACCTGGGGAGACCTGACAACAGAAAGTTTGAGAGTTACCCCAACACCACCCAGGTGCAGGAAAAGTAACTGACGGGTCGGTTGTCTCAGCCTGTTGACTCTTGAGCCCACTAGAGAGGTCAAATTTTGTCCAGGAACAGCCTTCATAGCCAAGATAGCAAATTTTAGCAAGCGATCCTGGCGACTAGAAAACAACTGGAAGGTGGTCATGGCAGAAACTGTTGGGAGAATTCTCAGCATAATAGAAGAGAAATTTTTATTTCCTTCATGATCCACTCAGGGAAAAATAAATGCAAATGAACCAGCCTATGTCAAATTCTGTAATAAACACCAGTGAGATCACAGTGTCAGGAAATATCAGCCTTAATTAGAGATATCCTTGCACTTAAAATTTTCTTCTTTGATGTATGTGAAGGAAGGGCTGGAGGGCAAAGTCACAGGAAAAGGCAAAATAAATTAACAAAATGGCTGCCAGGCAATGTTTCCTGCCCTCCCCTCTCCTCACTCCTTCTCACCCTCCCCACCTCCCCCATGCACGCACCTTTCCTGTTTCCACTGGACTCACACTGCCACCTGCTGGCGATACTTAGGGCCTACTAGCCGATCCGTGATGTTTGAAGAAGAGTTTTTTTCCTCTTATCTATGAATGAGATGCCTCCCTTATGAGTTTATTTTAAAAGGGAGGAGAGCGAGAATTACATGTTTTTCAATCACGAAAGATTCTCCTTGGTAGATATACTATCTAGGGGATTTCCTCAGTGTAATAGGTTCTAGACTAAAGTAAGTCTGGTGGTAGGAAGACAAACCTGTAAATTTTCCTACATCTAAAGGGGAAAGCTGTTTGCCCAGCTTCAGCTAATAAATTCTTTTCCTCAACTAGAGTTTCATTTACAACCCTCACACTTTCCACAATCCACAGGAAGCTTCCATGTAGGTATCTTTACTGCAGTGGACTGAGCTCCAATATATTCTCCAACATATTTCTCAAACATTCTTTAGTGCTTTACCAGATATAAATGCTCTGTAAAAATACAAGGTACTTGATAAAATTGGACTATGAACTCCTCAAAGGCAGTGACTCTGTGGGCCCGTAGAATCCTAGGTATTCAACTATTATGCACTGAATTGAACTGAAATAGCAAATGTTGATATCAGTATAACTTTTTATGATAAGTATTTATTGGCCGTTCAAAGGGGAAACTATCCCACCCCCACCAGCCCATCTTACCCTTGAATGTTCAATGAGCCAGGAATTTGTCCAAATACAGATCAAAGCACCCTCTGTTCCTGCCTGAACCCTTGAATGTTACTTGATTCAACTGAGGGAAGTGGATGGACAGGTAATCCCAGATGGGCATCCTGTCCAGGTTGCAACTAGTTCCCCTCCCTTGCAAATACCACCACCGATACCAGCCAGCAAGTTCCTACAGTCTCAATCAGTGAACAGCTGAACCCAACTCCCGTGCCCTCTCTCCAGCCCAGGACTGCCGATAGGAGAGAGATTTAAGTCCTTGTCACTGAAGCTAATTTTGAGAGCGATGAATGGGAGTAGGGAGGCATTTAATGGACCATAGAAACCCCACCCTTCCCATTCCCAACCTTAGTCTCTTGTACCCGATTGTCCAGGGGGCTGGAGGTGGGTCACTGCCATGAGGAGAGAGATCAGGGAGGCCACTCCTAGGAAGAAAAAAAAGATTTACAGTATTATTGGTCAAGGTGATTATTTGGCCTCTCTGTATCCACCCACCTTAGCAATTCAAATGCTAACCCCCACCTTCAGCCACCCAACCCCCAATATTTCCGCTTCTTCATTCTAAAAAATAAGGAGAAAGAGCCATCCTGTTGTATCCTTGCCTTTGCTGAGATCAAGCCGGAAGCTTGATCTCCCATGTGCAGGAGAAAGACAGCAAAACAGAACAGAAGGGCTGTTCCCAGAGGGTGGGAGAGAGCCGCAGTCAGCTCTCCTGCCTTCTCCTCTTTGTACCCTGCTTTTCCCCCTTGCTTCTGGCCAAACTTGGGAAAGGAACATACCCAGCTGGTTTATACCCTCTCAGTTTAAGGAAACCTCAGGTCTAAAACTAGAAAAAGATCCATTAACTCAAATGAAAACCCTTAGCTGTACTTTATTTAGGTCTTTTTAAACCTAGCAAGGAGAGGAGAAGACACAGGTCACTTTCTTACCTTGCTTGGGTACAATTACTGCCCTGGACAATTACACTGAAAAATGAAATATCCTAAAGAATCCCCAGGATAACTCCAAACCTGGCCTGCCGCTCTATATCCTCCAACTCCTACCCTTGGGGAGTTTCTCTGCTTCCTGAGGCATGGAAAGTTCGCTGGGTGAAAGGAATCATCTCACCTTCGTGACCCTTTGTTCTCATTACCATCTCACCAGGTTCCCTCCCCCAGTAGTCAAGGATCGTAGCTATGTCCAAGGCTTTTGCCACACGTTCATCCTGTTGGCATTGTTCCTGACCCAGAAAACACTAAGCAAAAGCTGTGTGCAGAGACCCCAGCCCCAGCCCCTGCTAGCCGGGAATAGGTGATCTCACAAGGTGTTCCTTCAGTCATAAGTGGCCCCAGCCCCATCTCCCTCCAAGTGGCCAAAAGCCTGTCATGATTCCAGTCGAGGTGAAGGGGCGGGACGGAGGTAGCTGTCCGACATGATGATGTCGCTGGTGAGTTGTTGCTCCAGGAACTCAGAGGTCTCTTCAGCTATCTGGCCTGGAATTCGAAAGTCCACAGCAGGCGTCTCCTGCTTGGGGCTGGGGAGGGGTCGGGAAACCCAGGACTCCGCGGGACAGCCTGTACCCTGAAGGAACTGCAGAAAGTTCTCCTCAATGGAGCCCTCCCGGCTAGGTAGCCTCAGCTCCTCCTCTGGAGCCGGCTTGAAGAAGCAGACAAACTGCTTGCTGAGCTCCCCCCGGATCTGCCGGTTGAGACATCCGTAAAAGAACGGGTTGGAAGTGAAGCAGAAGTAGCCGATCCAAGTCACCACGTTCTCCACCTGCCCAGTCGAAATGGGCTGAGCACTCAGGGCAACGTAGAGGTGGAAAGAAAAGTAGGGCAACCAACAGAGCAGGAACTGTCCCCCCACGGCCAGGAGGACCACTGCAGCCTTCCCTCCCCCGAACGTCCGGTGCGGGGTGGTCTGGGGGGCCCCCGAGCTGGTGACCATAGTGGAGCGGCTGCTGAGAGACTCAGAGCGTTGCCGGGGTGTCTCCATCCAGGTGGGCAGCGGTCCGTGCTGCATGGCAGCCACTCGGGCTACTCGGAACATGCTGCAGTAGACCACAAGGATGAGGAGTAGAGGCAGCAAGAAGTAAAGGACAGCAAAGACCACCACAAAAAGCTGACAGTAGGCACTGCGGCTCCATTGGAGTGAGCAGCCTGGGGGGATGCTGGGAGCTCCCTCCTCCCGGGAGACCCTTCCCAACACTGGCACAGAAGCCATGGCCAAGGCTTTCACCCACACGCCCACCAACACAGAGGCCACCAGCCCCAGCGTCATCCGCACCTCGTAGCGCATGGGGTGGACGACGTAATAGTAGCGCTCCACATTGATGGCCGACACCGAGAGAATGGCCAGGCTAACAAAGCATATGCTCAGGAACAAGTAGAGGCGGCAGGCGACCTCCCCAAAGAGGTCATGGTCAAAGAGGGCAGAGCTGGAGAGCATGGCCAGGGGCATGAGGGTCAGGGCGGCCAGCAGGTCCACCAGGCAGAGGTGGAAGACGAAGACAAATTTTCGGAGGGCGGGTGTCTTGGCGATAACAGCCATCACAGCAGCATTGCCAGCCACAGCGATCAAGTCCAGCAGGAGCATGAAGAAGAGAGCCACAGATTCCGAGGCCACGTCCCGCAGCCCCACCTCTGGGACCCCACTGGCCGTAGAGGGACCTGGGGTTTGAGGGACCCTCCCCAGAGTGGAAGAGTTCCCTGATGACTGGGGGATGGGAGAGGACTCCATGGGGCCGAACGAGGACACCCAGGGCACCTCCTGTCACAGGCCCATCCCCCATCCTAGTCCAGTGACCCTGGGATGGCCAGCCCAGGCCCAGGCTTGCCAATTTTGTGGGGGTGGGGGGGACGGGGGGGAGAGGGCGCCTCCTGCTGGAGCCTCCCGGATGGGCTCTAATCACCAGCCTTCCGGGCTGCGCTGTGTGTACAACCGAACTGAGCACTCAGAAGCTCATCTCTCCTTTCTGGCAAGAGGTGGCTCTGGTCGGCCTTGGTGACCTCAGAGAAGCAGGAGACGTGAGAGATGCCAGAGCCTCACTCACTCAACATTCCACCTCCTGAGTGGTCTCTGGCTCCTTTTACTTTGCCTTGCTTCTGTTCTCCATACCCTTCTCCTCTCTCAGGGACTGTTATCCAGAGGTTCTAAATCCTCTCTCTCCCTCTCCCAGGGTCCACTGAGCTCCGGGATGGTGCCCCCGTTTTCAAGTTGCTTATGTAAATTTCCTGATTTCTTGTTTCTCAGAATGGCAGGAGCTGTTGGGGAGTAGAACGGACACGAGATCTGGTTTCCAGGCCCGGGTCTGGGAATTACTGACTCTGCGACTCTTCTGGACTTCAGTTTCCTCGTGAAGCCATCTGTAAAATGAAGGGAATAACAGCTACTTCACGACGGTGTTTGGAGGATCCTGTGAGACTTCATAACAATACCACCCATAAGCGCTAACATTTATAAAGGTGGTTTCCAAATACCAAACCCTGTTCTAAGCACTGTACATAAATAAGCTCATTCTAATCCTCACACAACCTGTGAGGTGGGTATTACTCTCATCCCCATTTTGCAGTCGGTGAAACTGAGGCCCAGAGAGGTCAAGTAACTTACCAAAGGCGGCAAGGTCTGGGTACGTACCCAGGTGCTCCGGCTCCAGGGCCAGTACTCCAGCCCACCTGACCACGCCCTCCACAGCAGCTGGAACGCAATAGTCATTCAGTGAATAGTTGCTGAACCTGAACCATCTCTAAAAATGCCTGTCAGTGCTCTGGGGTTACCACTGGGAAGAGATCACCTGACAGGGGGAAGGACTGTGCTTTCGTCTCCTGTGACATCACCATCCTCAAGACAAAGAGCTGCCATTTGGGGGCTGTTGTGAAGGAACAGTGAAATCAAAATGTCCCAGCTGGAAGGAAACTGGGATGTCAGCCCATCCAGCCTCCACTGCCCCCAAAGGAGAAGGGCATAGGTCACTTGAAAGCTGCCTTTCTTCACCCACTCATCAGCTTCTCAAGGCCACTGTGCCCCTGAAGGTGGGACAGGAAATGCTCCTAACCTCCCACTCCCTGGGTCCCCAGATCTCTGATCATTGGAGCAGATCCCTGGCCCAGAGTCCTCTTGGGCCTGGACTGTTAGCACATTCCAGAGCAAGGAGGGAGAAGTAGGTGTCTGAGATTGGGTAGGTCACTGTGACTGTGGAAATGGTTGAGTATAAAGCAAAGAAGACACCTGGAAGGAATGGGGAGGGGAAGAAGTCTGGGGTTTCAGCATCTCTCATTTCTCCGGACCAAATGGCAGATCAGACGTTTTATGTGTCTCATTATCCATGTTAAGTTTGCATATAATTGAAATAATAATGCAATTAAAAAGTATTTTGATTTCCATATCCGATTCTTGCAGTCCAGTTTCTCCCAGTATACTGTGGGAAGATATGCAGATTTGAGGCAAACTATGGACATGCCAAGTCTGATGGGCCGTCTGTCGACAAGTCCCAAGTTCCCTGGATCACGGTTTCCTCATCTGTAAAATGGGAAGGTTGAACTGGACAACCTCCAAGATTCCCATATCTGACAACATTTGACGACTCTGTGAGTTCCTGGGTTGCTCAGTCTAAAAACCCATCACTTCTCTGACTGCGATAAAGTGGACCACGTGGGGCAGACCATCCCCATTCCCCCCCCATAGTTACAGCCTTACAACCACCCCTGGGTTTGGGCATTACCACCAACCATGCACTAATTTAACTTCAAGCATGTCATGCATGCAATAGGTGCTTGATAAAACATTGTGAATCAAATTCAAACTGGTCTGTTGAGTCCCTGCCCCTTAGTACCTGCTCCAAGCATACTCAGTAGGTCAACTGTGTGCCAGCCAGGGGACTCTGCTCTGGAAAGGGTAAGCTGGTCTCCGGGACTCGGCACAGCCCTAACTTTGGACAATTGCCTAGGGATGTGCCTCTCCCCAGGGATAAGAGGAAGCTCATTTCACAGTTAAAATAGCCACATAGACTCAGGGTCTACAGAGAAGGTGAAGAGAGGGCTCAAAAGTAGAGACATCAGCTGTTCATAAGACAGTCTGCCAGGAAAAAATGCAGAAAGCAATGCTAAGAGAGGCATCCTTTCCCCTTACTCTCCATACCGTGGCTTCCTCGTCCCTTCCACCTGGGAGTGGGGCCCAGAAGACGTGGCTCTGAGGCCCTGGGAGCTAAAGGAGTAAAGGCCCTCCGTGTCCGCATGGACATCAAGAGTCTGCCAGCAAGGCCCACCCAGGGTCCCAGACTGAGGGAAGCAGACATGGTTTCCACGTGGAGATGGAGGGGATACCGTGCAGCCGTGATGAAGCCCTAGACAAGAAGACATTGGACAATTCTCATTTCCAGAACCCCCTCGGCCCAGCCAGGATCTCCACACTGACTTCTAAATTCCAGGATTCCCATTTCCGTCATAACAGATGGACCAACATTCCTGCTCCCCAGCATTCCCTCACTGATGGATGGGGGTTGAGGAGGGGAGGGTTGTGCATCACGGTGTCAGGGGGGAAGCCCGGAGAGCCTCACTCCACTCCTAGCTCACATCATCATGCCTTCTCACACGCTCTTGTCTTCCCACTGTTTCCTGCCAGCAAGCCCTCCCTCACCTCCAGGACCTCTCAGTACCTGGCAGGCTTTGCCACCACAGGGGCTCAGGTCTGGCCCCCTAGACGGGGCATGGTCAAGTTACAAATATCCTTGTGTCAGGATGCAAGATGTGCATAAGTGTCCAGCTTAAGGCCACAGAGGTGTCGTTGGGATTTGCATGCACCTGTTCCCCAAATACAGAGCTTCCCTCCCAAGGATCCGAGCACGGCCTTCCTTCAGACAAGAGCGTGGCCCTCCTAAGCCAGGGGAGATCTCCAGGGGGCAACCACACTTCTCCACAGCAGAGTTGCCCACGCCCAGGACGCAGAGTTGCCCATCAGCCTACATACCAAGGGACCCATTCCTAGGATGCGGGGGACCCATCTCTATGACATGGAGTAAGACAGATGGGGAACCCTGTCTGCCTTAGGATGTGGGTACTCCCTCTGTCAGGAGATCAACCCCCATCTCTGGGCTTCAGAGATGCCCACACCCCAGTACTGCCTTTGAGAGACCTGGGAGCCCATCCCTTGATGAAACTGCCCAGCATAAGGTAGGGTTGGCTGGTCCTTGGGACACAGAGCTAGGCTCCTGCAGATTACCTCAGCAGTCACCATCAGGCCCTGGGACTGGCCCCCATTCCTGGCCTAGTCAGCAACTCCTACCTTGGCTGAGCAGCTCCCGGCTCCCATGTGATTGCTCCTCTCAGCTGATGCTTCTCCAAGGCTGCTGAAGCCTGAACCACTGCAGTGAGCGGTGAGAGGCAGCCGGCAGAGCAGGATGCTCCAAGAGCTTCTGGGTCCTAATGGCCTCCTGCTTCCCACCCAGCCACTTGGAGCCACTTCTGAAGCAAGGAGCCAGGCACCAGTGCCCCCAGGGAGGATACTCAGGGGTGGTTCCAACCCCCCTCACTTTTCTCAGGGTGCTGGAGTGGCATCTCAAAACCCTCATGCGGCCAGGTGACTGGGGGCAGGAGAGACCCTCCTGGCCAGGCTGATGAAGTATAAAGGGTACTCGGAGTCAAAAAATCCAGGTTTAAGGATTTTCTTAAATCCTCAAGTGGTTCCGGCACTTACTAGCTGTATGACCTTGGGCAAGTCACTTCCCATTTCTGGCCTTGGTTTGTTCAGAGAGAATATAGGATAGACGATCCTGAGGCTCCTGATAGGCCTGCCATTGTATGCTTCTGTGTGACATCAGAACGAAGATGCTCTTGCAGCAGGCTCGTCAGTGGAGACACAGAGTACCGGGGTTAGGCCGGGCAGGGGCCAAGGTTCCAGGGTCCGGCTCCTTCGACAGCTGCCAAATATGAACAGCCGATAGGTTCAAGAGTAGCATTCAGGTTTGAAGGGGAGCTAAAGGCCTTGTCCTAACCCTGCATTTGTCCCTCAGAAAGCACATTACTATCGTTTTCTTAGATTGTATACGTTGATTTGGTGTGGGCTGTGAGAACCAATGGAAATGGGGGGCTCTAACATCCCCATGAGCCCCCACATATGGTGCCACCACAACACTGTTCCCTGAGACAGAGCAGGCACCAGGACCTCGGGAAGGCTCAGATTGCTCTGGATCTGTAGGACTGGACTGAGCTGCACGGAACACCATCCGTAGAGGGTCCAAGGCAATGTGATGAGCGTTTTGGGAGTGAGATGGAGGCGCATGGCTTCCCACCACGAAGAAACCCTCAGTTCCCCTAGCTACGTGACTGACGCCCAAGGATAGGATCCTAACATTGCAGAGCTGTAAGACACCCTACAGGCCAAAGCATCCATGTTTCTGAGGCCGAGAGAGGTGAAGAGGTTGTCCAAAGCCACGCACATAGCAGAGCCGTGAGCCTAGGCCAGGAATTCAGGCGTGATACCTACTCCAGAGCCCTCTGCCCTGAGACTTGCCCCTCCAGAAACTCTTTCTGCCTCCAAAAGGGAAGAAAGACCAGACTCAACCGAAAGAGCCATGAGAACAATGACTTATTCAGAAAACCCAGAGAGGGCAAGGTGGCTGCCCTGGGCCCCAGGTCAACCAGAAAGAGACCACTGACCAGCCCAGAGCTGAAGCAGTGATCGCCAGTATCCCCAAAAACCCTTTCTTGAACTCTTACAAGTGCCAAATTCTTCACATACAGTACCTTCAATCTTCACACAAGTTCTATGAGGCAGCCTTTATGCACCTTATTTTATGGATGAGGAAATGGGAG